GATGATGAAAAAACAAATCCAGCATCACGATCACTTCCAGTACCATTCACCAATTCCACGTGAAATAAATGGATCTCTTGTTAGAAAAGTAAAAGGACCGTCTACATTTTCAGTAGATAAAATAACAACAACTTTTCGATAAACAGGCAGAGCACCAGGACAATAAATATTTGTATTTGATACAGCAGAATTTAATCGACCATATAAAATATATTGACCACCATTATTTGGAGAATATAATATAACTGTTTGTGTATCAGATAAACCACTGTTGAATACCTTTTGTCTAAATAAATCCATCAGGTGATGCGCTAATATATACATAAGGTTTAGACGTCTGAACGAGATATTCCTGAACGTGGATCAAGAAAAACAGAACCAAAAAATTCATTGACATCAGTCATAAATACAATATTAGTAAGATGGAGTGGTTCACTTCCATTTCCTCTATAAGAATAATATGATAATAACAGTTTTTTCCAATGAATTCCATCAGTACTATTAGAAATAATCAGCTGGAACTTGTACAAAACTTGTATAGAAATGAATTGCATTTTTCCATTGATATTCATGATAGATCAATGCATGATCAAGATGAATTTTTAATGTATTGATTATCAACCAATAAATGTACTCCAATATTAAATGAAACAATTTCAGATGATTTTATAAAATTAATTAGAATTAATAAATAAATTAAATATTCTTCAAATGTAAGATGCACGCAACACAAAATTACAATAGAAAAAAAGTTTTTGCTGCTGAAGATATTATAGAAGATATTATGTTTCGATTTACTATCAAAATATTTCTTTCTATAATCGTAAATATATCTTAATGAATTTGCTTCCAATAAAAAGATTATGTACGTTATAGGCGATATCTGTAAAGTTCTATTGAATTTAATGGCAGATCATAGAAAAACGTTTCATTTGAAATCATTCTCCTTGACGTTTTATTCGAATTTGATTCATCGATATTATAAGAAAGATGACCACACAGTCATTTATCTATCAATCTTTATGATTCAATTGATTTCATTTTGATTTCCTCTAGATAACAGACATCATAGTTGTTCTTCTCCTATCGGTCATTTTTATATTGTCAGAATATGAATACGTCCGCCGTTTCTATAAAAGGTCAGATGAACAAAAATGAAAAGAATAATAAATCATTCAAAAAATTTTCGCTCGTTAATGTTCAAATAAATTTCATTTTTAGATAAAGATAATTATGACAACACAATTCGAATCATTATCAAATGAAATTTTATTCAATTTATTCGAACATATTTCACTATTAGATTTATTTCGTATTTTTTATAATATCAATATTCGTTTTAATAATTTAATTCTTGATCATTATCAAAACTATTCATTAGATTTTCGTTCTTTGAGAAAAAAAGATTTACATACAATTTGTCATGATTATCTTCCATTAATTATCAATCAAATAATTTATCTTCGTTTGTCAGATGATCATGATACACCAAAACAATCAATTGATTTTCTTTCTTATAATATTAAACTTCATCAATTCAAAACATTACGATCTCTCACATTTTTTCATATTAATTTTGATTTAAAAATGGAAGAATTTCTTTTTCACGATATTCATCAGTTATCTTGTTTAACACATCTAAAATTTGTTGATTGTCGAATCGAATCTAATTACAATAGACATGATAC